TCGTTTTCCTGTCCAAGACCAGAGCAGCTTTTGCCAAACCCAGCCCCTAGGCTCATAGTACAAACTAGATTTCTTGTCCCCAGCCTCTGTTATTGGGATATGGCATATTTCAGGCTTAACCTAGCGAATCTGTCAAACAGATCTCCAGCCTTGTATGATGCCTTGATAAATTTCCATTCTGTGACACAGAAGGCTGGCAAACATGTGGCTGATGGGAACACATAAGCGATCAACAATGTTGAATCATAAGTGGAAAAGCCTAGGTTGTACAGTGTCCTGCTTATTAAAACAATTCAGCTTAAGAAGAATGAATCTCAAACTGATAAACAGTTCTGTGTGTTCACCCCCCTAGTACAAAGCATTTTGAGGTGCAAGTAGCCTAGCGGTGTCACCATATTTCCTGACTCTGATATTCTTGCTATGTCCATTCTGCAGTGAGATATTCTCTGCAGCCATAAGAAAGAATTGTGGAGTTCTTGGGGTTCTCTGAGCTTGGTTGTTTTCTTGCAAACGGCCAGATAACAAAAGATTTGCAAGAAAACAACCAAGCTCAGAGAACCCCAAGGACTCCACAGTTCAACCCTGAGCTATATATATTCTCTTCTATTGATAAGAAAGAATCCCATTTGTGGTTGGTGGTTTGCTATAACAGGATGTTCCAGTGCCACTGCTTGACATTTCTTACTTAAATAGTTGGAGAGCTTCAAAGATGAATTACTCTGCCCAGCATTTCCTCACTATTAAATTGCTCCAGCCTTTTCCTGAGGTGTCTTGACCTTTCCCAGTTGATGTATTTTCTCTTGTTGGTTTCAGAAGAAGATCATCTTGATGTAATGGAACCAAGATGGCTGAAAGCAGAAAAGTGAGTATTGAGTAAAGAACAGGGGAATGGGAAGAGAACCTCAGAATTGGGAAAAACGCCTTACAGAAGGAGGAAAGAGTCAGGGAGGGTTAGAACAATCTTACATGTTTCAGAGTAATGAAGAATTGCTGGTCAGGCAGGAAGAAACAGCTCATAACTGCATTTCCTTGAGTTTTTCTCTGCTTTTTGATATATTAGTATTTCTTTCCTGCCAAAGGTATGTTTTTTCTCCTATTTCTAGAGGATCTTGGAACTGGGCAGGGCTGCCCTTCAAACTCAGAATTACAAGCCCACTTTGTAGAGACAGGATTCTTGGCCCATCCCACAATTCCAGCCATCAGCTGGAAAGTGACTACATTCTGAGCAGTCACAGGACAGGGATTCTTCCTTGGCAGTGAGATTTTGACCTGCTGCCCAATGCTGAGCATATAGCTCAGCTATATAGAGCGATGCCATATTATGATCAGCCAGCAGCCTTGAAAACCTACAAATGTGCTGCTCTAGATTTTTTTAAACATTTATTATCGATTACAGTAGCAGTGAGTGCACCATTGGGAGACCTGAAAGAACAAGGTAGAGATAGATCGTCACGGAGAAAATCTATGTGGTCACCAGGAGTTGAAAACAACTTGATGGCACATAATCAGTTACCAGTTTGGTGCAAATCTCTTCCTTTAGAGTGAGCTTTGGCTTCAACATTGGCCTGCACTTGGGAAATGGAAATTTGGTAGCAGAGACTTGTTAGAAGTGAATTTTCCTATGGAGTGTTCTGAGTGTGGAAGAAGAGAACAAGTGTAAGAGAAATGGCTTGGTGGCTGTAGCAAGCAATTTGCATTCTTGATCCCCCTCTCTTGGTTTTACTCTGACAAGCTCTTTCTTCTTGTTACTTGCAGAGAGGAGCATACCCAGCGTCCTTTGGGCCCCAAAAGAAGCCACTTGGTTGATCAGGAGGAAAGCCATGACCAAGGTATGCTTGGCCCTAACTCCGAATATTCTGGGGTTTTAAATAGCTGTTTCTAGTCTGTATGATATGTCAAGTCAAGTCAAACTATTACATGTCACTGACCCAGATTTTGTTTAAGAAACAAAGCTAGCATGTAATACAAACTATAATGTGACATGATCAAAAAGCATGACGAAGGCCTGTAGTCATGCATAGCCTACTTTGCTGTCAACAGTGCACAGGTTCTGCAAGCTACAAATGTAAAGTTTGCTATTTGTTAAGTTGGATCGAATATAATGCTGGTTTAAAAGGACATTTGCTGTGCCCCAGTTGAGCTCTAAGTGACATCTTGATATATTCTGTTTGTAATTCTATGTCAAGAATTCTTTTGAGAACTACTACTACTACTATTACTGCCAGCTCTCGTCCCAGCTGCATTAGCCTCTGACTTGAGAACCCCAATTTGTGTTATTTGTCATTTACTTGATGTTTCCAAGAAGACTAATCATTATCTGTCAGGATAAGATGTACCAGACCTTGGGCTGAAAGTGGGCTTTCAGCCAATATCTGGGTTCACGCAGCCGCACCCTTGAGCAATGTTAGGCATACATTTTGCTACATGAAATAGCTTTCTTAAGCCAGTTTGAACTCTCTCCAGTTTCTCATAGTTGACTCCTGAATTTAATCATGCTCCATAGAGGAGCTGTGCCAGCATCTTAACTTCAATAAGCTTTATGATATTGGAATCTATGAATAAGTGACAGCAAGAATTTCCAGCACCCCTGTTCTCTATTCCCTGCTCTCACATGCTCTACATTTGGCTTTGGCACTACAGATTCCAGTGATGAGGATGGACCACATCCCTCCAGCAAGAGGAAGTGCCTGCGAATTGAGGAAGACGAGGACTGATGAAGTAGAAATCCTCTCCCTTAGCAGGTTGATAAGACCAGTGAAATCCAGCCCTGGGACTGCCGCCAGTCGCCTCAGAAACTGGAATGGGCAAGATTGAGAGCAGTCAGCATCCCCAGATTCTCTGTGCACAATGTTGAAAATTTTAGGGAGAGAATGCAGAAACTGAGCTCCTTCATGATCATAATTTAAAAATCTGTATGATCATCAATGTGGTGGGAAAAGAATAAGAAAAGAGTAAACAGCTCATAACTTCTGCCCCATTATTAGATAACGTTGTTGTTAATGCTAATATGACGGTCTCCTTTCAGACTGCTCCAGGTTTGTATATAACCGTTGATGCCTGCCTGCCCTTGCTCACCTGGCATTCCTCGATACGTTTGCTTAGAGTCACTGAGAATCACCCTTATCAACTAGATTGCCAAGCCGAAATGGGACCTGCTAGCTTTTCATAGTGTTTGGGTTTTATTTTGTTTTGTTTTGCTTTTTTGTGGATCTGCCTCTTTTGTCTCTGGTTTGGCTAAGGTATCACGGACATAAATGTCACATTTTGCCTTAATTACCTGAACACATCTATTTTGGTCTCTGCTGTTCCTCTGCTTTTTTCTGTCCATGAAATTCCTTCTCAAATTAAAAACAAAAAGCAGGAACCAGAAGCGTGCCATCGTATTAATACCAAAATATAGTGGTGGGATGAGATTTTAAAGATCCACCACATGAGGAACAGATTATCTCTGATATTTCTGCCTTCCCTCCTTTGTTCGTAAGAGTTGTTTTATGTTTGATGGTTCTGGAATTTGCCCAGTGTCAGCAGGATGGTGTGTAATATTTGTGGGTATTTGTGCATGTCTTTGCTGTATTTTTGATAGCTTTTTTTTTAAAGAACTTTGATTGATTCTAAAAAATAAAGTATAAAATATCTTCTTGAGATTTCTCTGCCTTGTCCTATGTAACTTCTCAAAACAGCCAGAGGAACTGGGAGGTGGACAAAGATGAGAATATTGTAAAGGATTATCATACTGATATCTCTGTTTTGCTTTCAATAGAAGCAGGATGATCATAGTAATTCCTAGTATTTTCAGGGTTCAAAGTGTGTGGGTTTGTTTGCGTGTTTGTTTTGTCCTCATTGCGATAGTGAGCATTATTTCCTACTTATGGATCAAGTATGAGGAGGCAACTGCTGGCACGATGTCTCTTTCTAAGCCCACCTATCTTCCCTAAATTGGATTTGTTTTATCCCCAGATCAGTTAGCTCCTCTCAAGTAAAACTGACAAGGCAATTATGAATTAGCATGCCATCATTGACCCTGCGGTTAAGAAACTGTTCCTCATTCCTCTCTACCCCATGCTTCTTTTTTTTTTGGACTGAAACAAACTCTGAGACCTTCACCTTCCACATGAAACATAAACTATAAAAAGCAGTTTAGTTTGGGGTCCCTCAGTTTCCTGGGACTTCAGTGACACTCATTTTTATAGTTGACCTCCACATGCACATAAATAAATCAATAAACCAAACTGCCACAGTTTGATTGTTGGCTCTCTCTAGTATGCAAAAGAGTTAATTTGTTAGAATAAAGTTATTCTAATTAAAGCAACAACTCTAGAAGACTTCAAGTTGTGCCAGATGTTGTAGAGGCTCCATGCCAGATCACGTAGACCATTGCTCCCAGGGCAAAACAACAGCCTCTTTGCTGTTTCTGATTACCTGACACACCCGGTCTAAGCCACTATGGGTTGCTACTCATGTCCTGAATTTCAAACGCAAGGGCAGTAGGATACATTGGCCTTAAGATAGGAGAGGTTGGAAGGGAGGGGTGGAGGATAGGAGGCACTTTTCAGATGACTAACCAGAATGTCTGGTAGGGGATCAAAGATGAGTGGCCTTGACCATCCATCACTCCATCCTAACGTTAGATGTTATGGACACGCATGTTTGTTCTATGCAAACAAGGCAACTGACATGCTACCCCTCCCTTTCTTCCCTTAACCCAACATATTACTCAGCATTGCCTGCTGCTTCCTCTTCTCCTGATTCTACCTGGTTTTTGCCATGTTGCAAAGTGTTCGTGGACTACTCTCAGGAATTCCTATTCCCTTCACCATAAAATAAAGGAAAACTGCATGAAGCATAGCCGTTAATCAGAGAAGTTGGGAGCTTTTGCAGAAGGCTGAGAAATAGGCCAGAACTTTCCAGGGGCAGAGAGTGTTGCAATGGGGTCAGCTGATAAGACTGGTTACCAGATATAAGGGTGTACAAACACCAGCTTTCAACAGCTCCCTCTGGAGCATTTTGGGTTTGCGTTGCTTCACACAGCAGGTAAGCTGCTCTCTTTCCTGACTGCAGGGGAGGGAGTGGGAGAGGGCAGGCATACAATAGCTGTCAGTATGGGGCAAAGAAATAGGTTAATTCTGAAGTAAGAATGAAGTGCCATGCTAATCAAGCCTCCTGTGTTTCACTAGTGGGAGATCATAGCTGGTTGTGGCATGCAAACAGCTTAAATGCAGTGAGTTAATGCAGACCACTTTATACAAACCTGTTGGCTCCTTGCTTCAGCAAGTCGGTCGCCCTTTGTTTGAATTTCAGAGCAAGTCAAACAATTGAATCTAACTTTTGATTTTGGGGAAGCCCTTGCAATTGGTTTTTAAACCAGTTGCCACAACCTGGGGTTCTGTGGATGTGCTGAACTAACCAACCATCCCTGAGCAAGGCATGTTGGCTGAGGGATGTGGGGATTGTAATCTGACATGGTGAGAGGACCTCAGAATGGATGACACTAGGTAGGTAGGTAAACAATCTTGTTTTGTCAAAGGTTGCTTTCTGTTCACTATGAGGAATATGGTTCCTTATTTTGGAAAATGTAGCCCTAGACTTCTATGAAGTGTGTATTATCTATAGGGAAGGATAAGCTCTATATGAAGATCTCTAATGTCTCTTTTGAGTATGTCTGACCTTAAACTGAATTCAGCTTATCAAATTAGACCATTGAACTTGCACTCTCATACCCAGCTGTGGCCCACAATCAACTTGACTGCATCAAGCCAACCTCCATATAGTCCAGACCAAGAAACTAGCTAAGCCAACTGGCTCTGTCAGGTGCCAGATGCACATCAAGGTGTTGGTTGCAGTCTTGTTTGTCACCAGCAGCTGGATGTAACTACTGAACATCAGTCTAGGTATTGTGAACAGTAGATGGATCTGGCCTAACTTAGGCTGTCTTATTCACTTTACCAACATTAGGACCAGGGTATTAATTCAACTATTTATGGCTTGGTGCTCCAGGACAGAGAAATTCAAGCTTTGAAACAAAAATTGCAATATTTATTACCATATTTATGTCCAACCAGGCTCTTGGGCAGTGGCAGGACTGCATGAGCCAAATGAGGCCCTACCTGGCTTTTGGTGGGCTGCTGATCTCCTGGTTTTGGCATAAGATGGCAGTGGGAGTAGACCACACAGAAGATTTCTGGGTGGGATTGACCTATGTCCTGTAGCTGCCATTGGACTGTCCACATGGAGTAGTGGCTATTTTGTCATCTTCACCTTCCTTGCTAGTTTCATCCATCTTGGCAGACTGCCGTAACAGTTAGCTCACCAGACTCTAACTACAACTAACTTCAAGACTTTCCTTCCCTCGCTGTTTGGAGAGTTTGTACAGCGTTGGACCTTTGTCTTTTGCTTTGAGGGTTTTTTGGTGAGGGTTTTCTGTGGGAGTGCCTTCTGGACAGACCCTGGATCACTCCTGCCCTGTAGTTTGGTGTGACTCTTCCCTCCCACTCAGGTGAGAGAAGAGTGGGTGGGGGTGGCGTGGATTGTGAAGAGCAGATGGTTGGTGGATGTGTTGTTAAGGAGGGTGATGAGGTAGCTGGTGCCTGAGCTAAGGGATGCTGAGTGCAAGGCAGAAGCCTTCTTGAGGCTGGTGCCAGCCTTCTGATTATGGAGTTGTTAGGTTGGACAGTGTGTTGGGCATTCTGGCCTGTGGTGGAGCAGCCTGGGTCAGAGGAGATTGGGGGGCCAGAGGGAAAAGGGCAGGTGAGACTATTAAGGTGGTGATGGGCACAGGGAGATACGGTAGGGGACAGACTGGTCTCGGGGAAGGAGGCCTTGATGTTTGTATCATTGCCACCTTCCAGCTCCTTGGGCTCTACCCCAAAGCTCGGTATCAAGGGCTCCAGAGACCTAAGCTTCTGGCTGTTGCTGCTTAACATACGGTCAGCCTATAACAAAGCTGGCCTCATCCACAACTTAGAGGGCTTACTTTGTTTGCATTACTGAAATCTGACTGGGTCCAGAGAGGGGGGTTTCCTGTCTCTGAGATGTGTCCAGATAGGTTTTGTGTGTGGCATCAGCCATGGAGTCAGAGTTGGGGTGGTGGTATGCCAGGTGTTATCCATGAAACCCTAGCAGCTTTCAGGGGTGCTGCTCTGCAGATTACCGTGTGTGAAGACTTGTTTGTGAAGTTGGGCTATGGGGATCAGAAAGGACCGTTGCTGGTGTACCAGCCTCCCTGCTGCATAGCAACCTCCCTAGCTGAGATGTTTGCAACTGGCTGGATTGGCAGTGGAGTTCTCTAAGCTTATGCCATCCCTGGCCATGGACTCAGTAGTGGTTCAGGAGTTCATAGCCACCATGGCAACCATGGTCCTAAACCAAATTGTCTTTGGACTGACTCACACCAGAGGTCACATATCAAACCTGGTTTTTATCTGGGGGGAGTGGCAACATGTTCTGGAGTTGGGGGATGTTACCATCAATCCCCTGCCACAGACGGATCACTCCCTGTTGTCTTTGGAGTTCTCTGGTGCTGCACCTCCCTGCACGAAGGGAGATCCTATTCAAATAGTCCACCCCAGGCATGTGATGGACCCTATTGGGTTCCAGAGGGGAGCTTGTTCCTGGGGCTCTGGTACCCAGTTTGACTGAGGCCTTGGTCACTGCTTGGAGTGAGAGGCAACCTGGGCCTTGGATCAGATCGCACCTATGTGGCCTCTTCATGCACATGGATCCCGGATGCCCCGTTTTTCAAAGGAGCTCTGGGTGATGAAGCAGCATAAAATACATCTGCAACACCCTGGAAGAAAATGAACCCAACCAAACTTGGGTAAGAGCCTTTCTTAGAGAGTACCTTGTGGTGATAAGGGTGGCAAAACATAGCTATTTCTCCACCCTTACTGCATCCGCAGAGTGCCAACCAGTTCAGAGTAACACAGTCCTTCCTGAGTAAGAAGGGGCTGTGTGTAATGGTATGTGGGAATTACCTTGGGAGACAGGAGGGAGAATCACAGACTGGATAACCGGCATGTAAAAGATATCCCAGCCCACAAAAGGGGGGATGGCATGGGAAGCATTTCATAAGGGACCCTCCCTAGTTTTCCAGAGAGTAAAAGGAAAGGAGGGGAGAAATACTTTCAGTCCTGCAAGATTCTGTTAACGTAACCTTACAATGAAGATAGAGCTAGTGCTGCTGGTTGTGCTTCTTGTCTGGAGCACCCCACAGGGCTAACACCATGGGAATACCTGCAAGGCCTCTGTGAGGACTATTCTAGGGATCTGTTGGATAAAGTCACTCAGATTCGCTCATAGTTGGGTTCTGGCTATCCTTTGGAGTTGCCTAAGGCACAGTCTGGCCTAATCAACTGGGAGGAATTTGAACCTGTGGGCCCTGATGATGTGGACAGGGTCCTTAGTGCTCTGAATTCAGCCACCTGTGTTTTAAATCCCTGTCCCTCCTGGCTGATTAAATTAGGGGATTGGGGGTGGGAGGCATTGTTTTGATGGTGGTCCTTTCTTTGAGGCCAGCTCCAGTCGGTGTCAGTAGGAGGGAAAGTTTGAGCTTGAGGCCCCTGCTTTTTGGGGTGCCTCAGGACTCTACTCTGTCACCACCGCTATTTAATATCTACATGAAGCCGTTGGTGAGGTCATCCATCTGCATGGGGTGCAGTATCATCAGAATGCTGATGATACCCAGCTGTACCTCTCCACCCTGAGCCGACCAAGCAATGCTGTCAAAGTGCTTTCCCGGTGCCTGGAGGCTGTGATGGCCTAGAGAAGGGAGAACAGGATTCAGCTCAACCCTCCCAAGACTGAGTGGCTGTGGTCTGGAGATTTTCCATCTCTAACTCTGCCTGGGGGTCAGAATTGGTGCGCAACTTGGGGGTCCTCCTGGACTCATGACTTCTGCTCAAAAAGCAGGTGACCACTGTGGGTACTGAGGGCCTTTGCTCAGGTTCAGCTCATGTACCAATTGCTCCCATTTCTGGTTTGGAAGGCCTTGCTTTAAAGTAATTCATCCCTTAGTCACCTTCTGTTGGATTACTATAACATGCTCTACAAGGGGCTGACCTTGAAGAGCATTCGGAAGCTGCGGTTGGTCCAGAATGCAGCAGAGGGTGGTTTTTGGCATTTCTCGCTACACCCATATAGCACCGCTGCTCCGCAAGCTGCGCTGGCTCCCAGTCAGCTTCTGGGTGCAGTTCAAGGTGCTGGTCATCACCTATAAGGCCCTCCGTGGCATTGGGATAGGCTCCTTGCAGGACCACCTTTTTCCTATTGTTTCTGCTCGCCCCATCAGATCTAGCAGACTCCGCACGCTCCAGGTCCCTTCCGTTGAACACTGTCATCTGTTGGACCCCAGAATTGTGCCTTCTGTGTGGCAGTGCCCACCTTGTGGAACAACATCCCCCTGGAGATCTGGATGGCTACAACCCTATTAGCCTTTTGTAAGGCTCTGAAGACCTGACCGTTTGTGTTGTGGAAAGGATTTTAGCACTGGAATGTGTCCGTTACCTCAGGCATCATAGGTCATTGCTTTTAACTGCTGTTTTTTTAATCTTTGTACCCTGCCCGGAGTCACTTCTGTGAGGTGGGTGGCTGTATGTCTTACCTAAATAAATACATTTCTTCCCACTGCAGCAGTGCCCAAAGAAGCTGACATGCACATATCACTACCTCTGATGATCTTGACGTTCCTTGGCTTCCTGCCGCATCATGGATGGGGAGGGCATTTTGTGACTGTAACTGATCCAAGAAACAGTGCTGAAACCCACCATCCCACCTTGGATTCCAGCCTTGCTCCCCTCCGCACTTTGCTCAGTTCCATCTCTTCTAATTCCATCAGGTTGCCTGAAAACGGGGTTTCCTGCAGCGACTTAATGCCTGATGTCCTAGAACGTTTCAACAGTGTGCCTCGACCAGCCCAAATTCTCATTCGGGCTGCACTGGTACTTGCCTTGCAAAATGCAGGCTGTAGCCAGCATGCTGAAACCCTTGGGGTGGATCTCTACCAGGAATTGGGGCAGAAAGATGCAAGCATCCTCCTGTTTATAATTGTAAAAGCCCTGGGCACAGCTAATTCTACAGGTGAAGATAAAAGCTTTGCCGCCCTACAGTTCAATCTGGACCAGCTAGCACCCAAACAAGCTTGGCAGTGCCAAGGCCTGATGCGGGTCAATAGATCTCTCCTGCATGGCCAGGTGTACCGTGTCTACAGGTGGTTTCCAGCAGCTGCTGCAGCCTGTCACTATTTGGGGAATGTTTGTGCTGGAGTGGTCACCAATGGCAACAGGTCCTTCCAAGTGCTGCTTAGAGATGGCAGCTACTTCCTGCCACAGCACGGTTCTCATTCCTGGCTTCATCAGTGCCACAGGCATGCACGAATGCGACGTTTCATGACAGAAGACTGCCTAAGTGAAAAGGAGCAAAATGTACACACAGTTGTGGGGTTCATACCTGTAGTCAGCACTCTGTATAACTTCGCAACCAGCCTCTACTATGCTAGCCAAGACTGCAGTGACTTGGCCAAGGAGCGTGCTATAGAGGGGGCCATAGACTTGGGCTATGATTTCTTGGTTGGTTTAACTGGGGGGACTGGGACTGCCTTTAAGATGATGGTTGCTTCAGCATTGAAACCAGGCTACAAAATAGGCGTACAGGCTCTAATTGAACACGTTCAGGAGAATGGGCCACCGTATCCAGTCCCCTCCAATTACTCAGGCCCAGTCATCATAATCTAATCCAGGCATTCTCAAACTTTGCACTGCTACAACCACCAAAAATAATAAATGAATATCTGCAACCCACCCAATAAAACGATTGATTTCATTGTGGTTAAGTCTGGGCAAGAAATATACCACTTACTTTGAAGAATTACATTTTAATCTATATAATTACCATGGCTCTCAAACTTGATGGCCTTGGGCCATTAAGCAGGGACCAGGGCAGGGACTGAAGACTGATATATGAATTTGGACAGCCCTCAAGCTTTGCTTATCCAAAACTGTTTAGTTTTTTTAAAAATTGTGACACTCTTCCATTTACATTGATCGATCTCACACACACACACACACACACACACACATATACACACCCCAGTGGGGATGTTACAACCCAAAGTTTGAGAATTCTTGTTTGACGCTATTACAAATTATACTAGTATTTTAAAAGTATGTGCTGGTGTTTGAGTGTATGTGACAGGAAATGACAGATGCTTTGCTATTTTCTTTTCCAAACCATTGGCTTTTAGGTGCCAGCTGTGTAGGCTGATTTTTACAAAACAATGTGTCAAAAACAGTCAGGTATAGAAGTTTTGCATTTTGCAGTTGGATTGTCTGGAGAATCCTCAGAGGGATATAATTGAAGGGCATTGTTTTGATACACAATTTTATACTCTCTCTATATATTTCACATAATGT